ATCGATAAGGCTCTCAACGAGCAAGGGTTCCCTCATCCCATCTCATTGCTTACCCGTCTTTCCCTTCGCTTCGTGTAAGTCATCCTTCGAGACAATTGATAGTCCTGGCTAATAGTCATACCTTAGTCCAGGATGCTCACCATCCTTCTCGTCGCTCTACTTGCATATATGCGGGTGGGCGCAATACCCATTTCTCCTGTCCGCACAACCAACCTGGCTGTATATGAACTCCACCCAAGGTGTGAGTGTCCTGGTACCGGTGCAGATGGACGTACGATATACGACATCGTCAAGAGTTGCCTCTTCACAATCGCGGCTTGCGTTTATCGTGCCGTTCATCAAAATATTCCGGATCCGGAGCTTGGGTTTTGGGGAAGGTTGAGGGTGACGATGAAAGTGACTTTCTATGCGCTCATAGCCCCGGAGTTGATTATTTGGTGGGCTATGAGACAATGGTTCGGGGCGAGATATGCGGCGACACTTATGAACGGGGCCGAACCCAGTAAGTGATTCTGACTTGTTCAATTCCAGCAGAAACCGATTCATGGTTGATAAACAGGGTTGAACTGGACGAAGGTTCACGGTCAATTTGCACAAATGGGAGGGTTTGCACGAAAGGACGACAAACGAGTGCTCTACCCGGTTACTCTGTGGCTACTGCTTCGAGATGGTCAAATCGACATCGAGGAACTTCAACTTACGGAAAAGGAGATTCAAGATAAGAGTAAAGGCGACATATTATCCAAGACTCTTGTTGCATTCCAAACGACGTGGTTTGTATTTGAATGTATAGCTCGTCTGCAGCTGGGACTTCCCCTCATCGAACTCGAGGTCGTCACCCTTGCCTTCGCCACTCTGAACATCATCACATACGCACTCTGGTGGTATAAGCCGCTCAACGTTCTCTGCCCTCTCTACCTTCACGTCCGCCCCAAAGTATCCGACCCATGGGAAGAGGCTGTTGGGAGAGGAGAGACGAACGCGACGGAGTCAACGGAAGGGGAGTTGAGTGAGGTCCAGGTGAAATTGTTAGCAGCATCCAACAGAGTTGCCGGGATGTCGAGTTCTGGGAAGGGGGCTGTAGTTGGAGAGACAGAGAGGACGAAGAAGGCAGAGAGTGGAGAAGGGTCTGGGAAGATGCCGATGGGAATCGTAGGGAGAATAGTCGCTGTTATCAAGGACGACATCGAGGAAGACGGGTGGTGGTGGATGCTGTGGAAACGGCTCCTCAAGGAACCCTTTTTGGCTGTGGTTTGGCCACTCTGGGAGCTGGTTGAAAGTGTCAACGAATCCCCTCGCGATGAAGCAACATATGTGTCAACCTTCTTTGCACTGGAGGGGATCTCGGGCCGTGACGAGACTTGGGTTCAGGGTCTGAGTTCGTTTATCGGAATGATGTTTGGGGCCATCCATTTCCTTTCGTGGCACTCCACGTTTCCGACACACACCGAATTGCTTCTCTGGAGAACTTCTTCAGTCGTCTTGGTTGTCCCTCCTTTCCTCCTGCTCCTTACAGCACTTTTCGCTCACATCTCCGCAAGGCGGTTACAGCGCCTGGCAACCTTCTTCGGGATGGTCTCTCTGTCCATATCCTACTTTGGTGGACCCATTCCCTACATCCTCGCTCGCTTTTGCGTTCTCGTACTTGCCTTCCTCACCCTCCACAACCTCCCTGCTGACGCGCTTACGAACATATCCTGGACTTCATACATTCCCCATATCTAATCAGTTTTTCATCTACATTTCGCTTTTCCCCCCTCCATTGACCTACTATTGAATCACATTTCTTGTTCGTCTCGATACTAGCCTGACCAATTTTCATCCTCGTTGGACTTTCTCTCCATCTCAAACGGCCTCATCCACTAACCCCCACAAACCTCGTCTCTTCCTCAGGTCAGATGATCTGGTCCTACCACGACGAAATTGAACTGCTGGGTGCACAACGGGGTTTGAGGATAGAGAGGTCGTATAGCAATCGTCAATCATTAATACCTCGTCTGCAAAAGCCGCCGTCCAAAACAATGTCCTCTCCACGGCGGTCTTCGTGACTCTCAAATCATTCACATCCACATCAAGTTCATTCTCCAGGACCATACATCGATGCCTGCAGTCCCCGTTAAGCATGGCCAACAATACCACCTGGAGGATCCTGGACTCAAGAGGGGTAACCAGCGAACTGATTAGGCCTGATATTGAATCATAATGCAGGTAAGCTGGTTTGGACTTGCAAAATGACGACGAAGGAAAGAAGCGAGGCGGAAGATGTATCCCTTCCATCCGATACCTCATGCAATGCCTTCTTTAGGGTCTGTTCGGCCAAAATGTACCGGTTCGCAAAGGCGTCCTATTCGCTCCTGAGAGTAAGGAGAACTATGTCGATCGGCCGACCAGTGAACGAGAAACCCTAAGGACGTACCATAATTCGTAAAGCGTACCACGAAAATCGAAATCCTTATGAACACTGGGAGGGATTCGAACCCTCGATTCTTGGGGTGGCGGAATACACCACACCCCAAGAGTGATTCCACTTCACCACCGGTGTCCATCAGCACAACCGCACCGACAAATCACTGAGGAGTATCCTATCGATCCCGATTCGACAGGGTTGGAGTGGAGCATATGGTTGACCTAATACTAGTAGACAATCGTAGCTCAGCACATATAGAAAAAATCATTTGGGGACTGACGGGTAGCCAACACGTGCCAGCGAACCCATGATTGAGATTGTTTTCATCGCAGACTAAACCCTCCAATGAGAGAACGAAAACACACCATCAAGGGTTCGAACCTCAATTCGATCCTACTGCGACCTTTGAGGGTTTGCGTCCGGTATATGTCGAAAATATATGAAGTGTTGGTCTGAATACAGCATGGAGAAGCCCAGATAGTGAACAAAACAGCGAGACAAGCGGAAAATATTAAAATTATAGAGGACGTACAAGATACAGTAGTTGTTGGGGTTCTAGGTTAACATTGAGAATGGAAATTCGTCCTGGACTTCACGAGCCCGCCGATATTGACGAGTAGACAGAGGCTCCGGATTCTGGGGAATAACGATGTTAGGATGCGATACCAAGGAAAGGAGAGCACAAAAGTGACTAGAGAAGGAGAATATTACGTCGAAGGTTATCATTGGTGAGGGCCATCAGTCGAGATAAGTTCAATAGTTAGAACACTTATCAACGTACCACGAATGAACCTGTTCTGCAACCTCGAATGAGGTTCAGAGGTCCGGATCCCTTCCGTGATAGGGCCACCAGGATGCCTGGTATTATAGCTGGAAACTTGACAGACTCTCCAGTTGACTTGGATGTGAGCATGGCATCGACAGTTGGCGTCGGTGAGCAGGTTTTGATCTTTAAAACCATGACGAGGAGGAGAACGAGAATTTGAGAGTAAGCGTGGAGGAGCAGCCGGGACAACACGGGCCGACGCCTTGTTTGGCACTCGCCTGTGTAGCAAACACGGAGGAAGCCGCACTTCACTCTGTTGAGTCTGTTCTCGTCGCTTCACACCCAAGTCCACCTCCTTCATCCTCTCCGAATTCATTCCTTCTCCTCTCCTCGATGCTCGACGAGGGCCAAGGCCTTGGAAAGCATATAAGCTCAGCTCAATATTGAGAAAGTGTTCCGTCAAAATGTGAGTTGTCCATTTTGATTTTCGTTTAGCGCTAACTGCTAACTGATATCTCAGTTCTACTGTGGCTTCAGATCCAATTAAAGGATATATCACGCTCTGCATAATAGCTGTAGAAGAAAGCTAACCTCATAATCCCAACAAATGTGGACTCAAACTTCTGTTGATTGAGGTGTGCGTTTTTCTTTTTTTCTTTTTCTTTTCACCACTTGACCATCTCCATGTGATGCGTCTATTCTATCTGAACTGCCTTCCGTATGCTATACTCATATCGCCTCTTCGTAGGTCGCAACTCAAGCCGTTCGTCTACGAACCGACGGTGGTCATGCGAGATATGGGCACTTGGACTCGAGATGGTGGAATTTTTCGTAAACGTTGTCATTGTAAGTTCGACGCATGTTGTTTCCTCCCTTTTCCTTTTCCACCCGTTGTTCATATTCCAATCGCATCACTTCGGAACTTGGGCGCTTATGTGCGAAGTTCTTCTCCAGTTTTTTCCTTCGCCTTTTGCTTCATCAGCGTCGTTCACTGACATCAATCTCTCCCCCGTAGCTGTCTATCTCTAGTTCATGAAGTCCGAGCCCTGTTACAGCGCTTCAAACCAGAGTTGAATCGGGAGGGGAGGCTACCTTCCTGGGATAGTCCTCGTAGGTTTTGTGTCACCCTAACTCTTGACGTCGTATTCTAACTCCACCCCATAGTTCTTGCATGGATTCAAAGGTGTTGGATCAAGCGGGGATTATGGGCGCGTGGGTCGGGGGTTGACGTTGCTGGTCGATGAAGAGAGTCTATGGTTAGCTCTTGGGTTTTTGTCTCTTGGTTATTATACTTATGTTCTCCCGTTTCCCAGTTTTGCTCCTGGTCTCACTCGAGAGCGGGACGTACCAGAGCCTGACAGCAACTCGTCTGTCGAAGAATTTCGGAGGACTTCTGGTGGGGCTAGCTGACGAGGAGAAAGTTTGGATGGTGATTAGGTCCGTTCTTTGCAATTCCGTCAGCGGGTTGTTATGCTCATCATCTCTGTATGTCCTTTTCAGCTGAACGGTCTTGATAGCCCCGTTCTATCTTGTTCCTAGCAAGTTTGACCCCGATAGACTATCAATGAATACGTCTTTTTTCGTTTTCACGATGTGCCTCAAACCACCTTGGCGACTGTTCCGGTTGGCTCCCTTGGAGATATGGATGCTCAAAAAGACGACGTGTCAGCAGCCCATCACTTTTCGTCTTTCCCCATTACCAACACATCTCACCACCGATGCTCATAACGAAAGATTGAGCGACACTCACGTGTGTGAGTATTGGTTGCAGGCCTGTTTTGTCTCGTTCTCGTTGGTTGACGCCTTACTCACCACGTTGTCTCCGTTTTTTCTGTACCATCGCTATCGACTTTGATGAATTTAGGTTTGTTGATCCTTCGTCGACACTCTCACCTTCTCCATATCTCGCGTGTATAGACTCAGCTACTTGGGCGGTCTTTGAATTGTCCTCAAAGCAGCTTAGTGCTTAGTACTTAGTGTTTGGGTCGGCCCACTTGTTTGTCTCCTTCTTGATCTAAATCTATTTCGCAGATCGATCCGCCCTCCCCTTATCGGTATTTCATCATCACGCCCTAGAGGCGGGTGTTTATTCTCTTTCTCGGCCATCCTCCGTCCAACTGAAGGGTGGGTCTTGACATCGCCCCTCTCAACTTGTGGTCGTATGAGAAGCAAATATCCTCCAATTCGATGCTGTTCCCAATGACTCCTGTCAGTCTCTTCCGAATTTCTCCACACATACCGCTTTAACGAGAATGGTAACGAGTGGGATTCAATAAACTACGATTTGGACGCCCATTTCGGAAATGGACCAGGTCAGAAAGTTCTGCCTGCTAGGTTCACGTTCACATGAAGGATCGGAGTATGAAAGGTGGGTTCATGTTTGACCGGATTGGGCGCTCAGATACTAAAAATGGACCCTTCAAGCTCAACGTACCAGCTCTCACAAGTGACGAGTATAGGATCACTGGGAGAAGCAACCGAGTCCTTAGGAATTCGGAACAATGGGAAACAGAACCACAGCATATAAGCGACGAACCTTTCATATTGTAGTTGAGTTCACCCTCTGCCCGCTGTCTTTTATTCCGAGAACTTTTGATGAAGGACTGATAGCGAATGACTCTGCCGTTCACCGGCATACTGTGCTGTGACGAGAATGATTAAGTGGATGAAATGGAGGCGAGTAACCCAGAACCTCGTTTCCGATTTTCTTGATTCAGTTGATGTTTCACGCCTTGGCAAGCGTCAATTGCTCGTTACAAGTTAATGAACCCCTGTTGAATCGACCAGAAACGAGTCGGCGGTAGTCCGAATGAAGGAGAGCGCCTATCTAAATATATGCCAAGCATTCAAGCCTTCAAATTTGGGTGAGCACATTACAAACGCGTTTCCGCCACTACTGACTGCGTAGGATACGCAGGTTTGATCGGGTCTATTCTCGTTCCACCTTGAGGGCAATGGATGATTTGGGGTCACTTCCCTTTCGATAACTTGGTGCGTTTTTTTGACATCTCGAATGGATGGAGCGTTGTTCCAGTGCTAGCTGATATATCATATTAGGGAGTGGACAGGGTGAAATGACGAACGTACATTGAAGATCGTGATCTTGAGTATCGAGTAATGGGTCCACTGGGACTTGCGGAGACCGCAGTGTGAGTGGGGTGCATATTGATGGATGAAATGACGTCGAAAACAACAAGGTGAAAGGCGGACAGCGGCACACGTTGAAACCTGTTTCTTCCACTGATTTGTGATCCCAGCACTATAGGCACCAGGGTAATGGGCGCTCAGGGGAAGCGGAAAGCCCGGCATGTGTGGGGTCTATAGGTTTTTGGGGATGTCAACGGTGTATGGCTAACGCGTTGTGTTCACTGATAAAACTGTCCGTAGATTTCTTACTCTCAACACCCGGGCCCACGCTCTTTGGAACCTCCCCAACTTGTTGAAGTTTGAAGCTTCTTGCACCGCGGACTACATTCTACGCATTCTTCCTGTGAGTTGAACGGTTCGTCGATGCCGGATAGGTACTTACTGCGGGGGCTAGCCTTGTACCCAAACCGCTACCTCGTTGTCCTTACTATTGAACGTAAGTAGGCGTTAGGCAAAACGCTCAACGTTCTCCTCTAACCTTCAGACCCAGCCCACTCGAAATTCCTTCGCCCCGTTCTCACAGGAACGACTGACCGACCGATTGTCTGAACCTTTGAACTGTGAGTATTTTCGATAATGTAGAATACCTACTTACTGATGGACGCCAAGCGCTGTAGTGACCCAACATGTTCACCTTCCTCCTTGGTGCTACACTCGCCTATATGCGGGTCGGCGCTATGCCCCTCTCATCTGGTCTAGCCATCGACCCTTCTACCGTTGGTGCCGTCGTATCGGGGATCGCCTCACGATGTGATTGTTCTGGTACCGGTGAGGATGGCCGTACGATATACGACATCGTAAAGAGTTGCCTCTTCACAATCGCAGCTTGCGTCTACCGGGCCGTTCATCAGAATATTCCGGATCCGGAACTTGGGTTCTGGGGACGGTTGCGGGTGACGGCGAAGGTGACGTTCTATGCGTTGATAGCCCCGGAGATGATTATTTGGTGGGCTATGAGACAGTGGTTCGGGGCGAGAAAGGCGGCGCATTGGATGAACCTCAGGAGGGGGGAACATCGTAAGTTCTGGCTTGCTATAATTCAGCAGATGTTTATGGATGAGCAGGGTTGAACTGGACCAAGGTTCACGGTCAATTTGCACAAATGGGAGGGTTTGCACGAAAGGACGACAAACGAGTGCTCCACCCAACCACCCTCTTAGACCTCCTCGACAAGGGTCAAATCGACATTGACGAACTCCGATTGACGGAAAAGGAGATTCAA